AGAAGGGAGATGTGCCTTGCCTATGAAGAAACGAATGGCTCTTTTTGTAGCAGGAACTCCTTTGCATATTAGGCGACACACCCCTAATGTAGCCAATCCTCCAAGAGCTTACAGAGCTCTTCTTACAGGGGCTACTGTAAGCTCTTGGAGGATTGGCTACATTAGGGGTGTGTCACCTAATATGCAAAGGAGTTCCTGCTACAAAAAGAGCCCCAGGCAGCATTTTTGGAAAGCACAATTCTCTGCCTATAAATGTGTGTACGTGTCAGATAACTTTAAGTCCTGTCTTATCTATACAGATTCTGTATCTGTATTGTCAAACCACTGTATAATATTTACATAAACATTTTCAAAAAGATCCTTGTGAATTAGCCACAGTTTCTATTGTGGGAAATAAGTAAAAGCATTCTTCTTCTAAAATTTTGCTTATATTTGATAATAACATAGGGCTGCCAAATCCCCCCGGGGGGCGGATTTCCCCCTGCTTTGGAGGCCCGATTTCCGCCCCCGCGGAATCGGGCCCGGGGGAAACCCCACCCCCGCGTGCACGTCACAGGGAAGTGACGTCATGACACTGGGCACACTGGGGGTGGGGCACAGCCATTTGAGGGGAAAACATAGAGTTTTCCCCTCAAATGGCTGTGGCCCCGCCCCCAGTGTGCCCGGCGTTATGATGTCACTTCCCTGTGATGTACATGCGGCGCGCGCGCGCAAAGTCCCCCGCCGGAGAGGTAAGTCGACTTGGCAACCCTATAATAACAAGGTATTAGCAGTGGCTTCACTAGAAAAGAAGCTTCTACTTTATGAATACTAAAGTATGCTGCTGCATTTCAGAATGTTTACAGTGCTTTTACCAGGTTTGGTCATTTATCCAGGTCAGAACAGATGTAGTAAACAACAATAATAGGTAATAGAATTTACAAGAAAAATACTATGTTATACAGAACAAACTTCACAAGAAAGGTATCAACAAAACACATAATTTGCCCTACAAAGAAATGACAGGTTGTTACCATTAGTATTATTTATCAGTGTACAAAGTGACTTTCAAAGGACTCAGGAAGCAACACTCAAATAATTTCTGCTTTCAAGTGGAAAAGTTTGATCACAATTGCTGTAGTTAACTCAGCAATTAAGAAGCATCAAATCACAATTAGCATGTAAATGAAATGCAGAATCCTTTGCTGGATTAAGATATCCCCAAAATCACATATTTGAAGACTAACCAATACTAACAGGCACTGATTAATGTGACCCTGGAATTTTAACTCATTCAGTGCCATACTGAGGGCTTTATCTTTTGCAGAAATCCTGTTGAAGCCAACATAGTAGCAATGCAATTAGGTTAGTGTGGCTTCAGGCAGAATTAGATGTTACAAGAGATATAGAGCTGCCACTATTATGTGTCTCTTTCCCCCTTTCTTTCTAGTAACGGCTACTATAACATTGTGTAATGTATTGCTGACAGATATGGAATCACACATTACAGTGACCCCCCCATTATACGTTGTATTATTCAAAATAGTGTTACAGAGTGGGGGAAAAGAGAAATGGCAGTGGATGTTCTTTGTCTCTGGTACTACTTCCACCTTTAGGGTGAAACCAACTGATTTGCTGAAGTAGCAGATAACAGCTTTCTGTCTTTCATGCTGAGTTCAAAACTTTAGGCCTGATTTAAACATGATGTTGCCAAGGCAAATGAACTTAGCCTTTGCACTTACTCAGTGTCTTGTTTAAACAGGGCTTCTACCTATGCTTAGCAGCCACATGTACTTAGTAAGCAGGCCAGTGCAACAGCCATCTGTGCTATAGGTCACTGCCTATGAATCTTACAGCTAAGCATACACAATGGGTTTGCACAGGTAGTTGCCCCATTCAAACCAGCTGCAAGCTGAGTCCAATGTCCCACACATTCTTTTTGATTTGCCAGCATCCCATTTAAAATAGGTCTTACTAAACCCTAACCCTGTTTGCATCTGAAGAAGTGTGCATGTATATGAAAGCTTATAATAAGACTTTGTTGGTCCTAAAGGTGCCACTGGATTCAAACTTTGTTCTGCTGCTTCTGACCAACATGGCTACCCCACCTGACAGCTATTTGTGTAACTGCCATTGAAACACTGATTCTAAATAAAGACACTTGATCTGAAGATTTACCCTGAAAAGCTAGTGCCGTAATGGGAAAGCTAGCATGTTTAAACCTTGCCTATCCCTAGGGGTTGGAACAATAAGATAAATTCCCTCCTGGCAGTAGGGCTTGCCCAGACAGTTCCATTCCTCAAGCCTTGCTTTTGCCAAAGTGTTGAGCAATCAAGTACTAAATTCCTCCGGTCTTCTCTGAAGAGACATTACCAACGTGCTATGACTTGTACAGAAACGAGAACACAAGGGACTTGGAGATCATCATTAATTTGGTCTATGCCTTTCGGCCACAGTAGAATAGAAAAAGTGAGCTGTAACCTTTACTTATTGACTAAATATATCACGTCTCTTGCAAGCACTGTCTGAATCAACTGTACTGGAATAAGTTGTACTCCCACAATAGTATGTTGAAACGGCTCAAACTGAGCTGTTCGCTAAAACTGCATCATCACCTTTAGTCTTTCTCCCACCTCAGTTCATCACGTGAGCCAATTCTTTTTTCTTTATTTTTTTTCCCATTAACATATCCCTGTTCTTTGCTTGTTCCACTGCCATAACTCTCCTACTTTTTGTCATCTTTGGAGAAGTGTTTCTGTTTTCGAGAGAACAATTTAACAGACCCAATCCACTCCTGCCTGACAATCAGGGGTCGTTTTGTAGAAAAAGAGCTAGGGGAACCCATTAGCATAACTCATTAGCATATGCCACACACCCTGACATCACCAGAAGTGTGTCATGAGGCCACACACCCCTGACATTACCAGAAGTGTGTCATAAGGCCACACCCCCTGACATCACCAGAAGTGTGTCATAAGGCCACACCCACCATTCAGTTAGTCTTAGTCTTAAAGATTAGTCTTAAAGGTGCTATTTGTTAGTCTTAAAGGTGCTATTTGAACTCTTGGACTATTTTGCAGCAACAGACTAACACAGCTACCTCGGGGAAGCTCCTGGATGGGACTGGGAGTCCTTGCGGAGGCCACGTGGAGTGGCCTCGGCCAGGCAGAGGGGGAGGACGCCAACTTACCCTCCTGCTTCTTCCTCCTTCTGCAACAGAATGAGGCTGGAAGCAGGGGGCTGCCGGAAGAAGGGGGCGGGGCTTCGTGGTGTGCCCTGCCCCCTGCACCTCACCCGGGGGAACTGCGATCCCTCGCGATCCCCCCCGAAATGACCTCTGCTGACAATTCAAACTAACTATTTTCATTATTTCAGCCCAAATATGATGAGAAGGATGAAGTATCAATGCTTTGGAGAGGACTGCCACTACTGAGCCTTGTTCACAGTGTGTCTCTGTCAAAAGGAGAGAAGAGAACAAGCAGCAGATCTCAGTAAGCGGCCTGCACAGACTTACTTGCAGGCAGCTGCTTTTCCTGGGCAAAATTGTTCTATTAATTTACCATTGACAAGGGATAAACTTGGCTAGTCTTAAAGGTGCCATTTACAAGCTAACACATATACCCTTTGACTGTAATTTAAGAGAATAGCTACTGCTTGTATTATTAGATAGTGAATGCATATGGTATAAAAAGAATAATTTTTAACATTAAACTCCAATTCTAATGGATCAAAGCGAACAGGAGAAATCAAGCCCTTTGATCTGGAAACCCTGCCCCCTAATTCTATATGCATGGGACTGACTAGTGTTAATTAGGGTCCAAAAATGGCACTGCCAGTAAATGCATGATGTGAGACTCAGATTCTAGGACTTCTAGCATTCTTCTTGAAATACATTTTGTGGCATGAGATTCCTACATGTGCTGTGATTTTAATAAGTTCATGTTGCAGAGACCCATAACATGTAGCTGGTATAAGCATAACACATACTTAAAAACAAAACTCTAAACATCTTTTCTTAGAGAATCCTGAATATTTTAAAATTACGAAAGTTCTTTTTTAATTTTGAAAAATTACAATACATCAATACAGTACAGATTATGTATTGTTGATTTTGTGAGGTTTCTTTGTCAGAGACCCATCAATGGAAACAAAGCTTCAATATTCCTTGTTTGGTAACCATGACTATTAAAGAGTGTTGAGACTTGCTTACAAATGTTCTGTAGACCAGCTTGAAAAGTCAGATAAGAGTGCCAAGTAGGTGTTAGGAGATAGTTCTTAGGAAAATACAAATGTTTTAACATTTCACTTCAGATGTTCAGAAGCTGACCTATAGATTAAAATAGTTTCTGTTCTGCATCCTGCAGAGCCTATATTCAAGTTCAGCCTTAACCGTCCTCGGTGGGAGGGGGGGAAAGTAAATGGGATGATTTAATCTCAAATTAGCAGACTAGCCTATTTCCATTTTCTGGCTAAACTTAGGGCTGAACTGTTTGTGGAGCCAGGATGGGCAGGCAACCACTGGGTAAGCAGATACTTCAAAACAGCTTTCTAGGGTTATATCTGTGGGAGGAAAAGGAAACAGTCTTTTCAAGTGCTTGCCTCTGCACTGCGTGTGTCTCACATGTACAACAGTTCTGCCCTAATCAAGCCTAGGTGGAATTGGACCAAAACTATTCCTTTCTATCCTTTCCGCAAGCCAGATTTGTCTTCTTCCAACACCTGAAACCCTAAATTCAGCAGAACTGATATCTAGCTAGCCTCATCCAGACAGGTGAAAGCATGAAACAATGTTTTGGTGACATTTTGAAACACTGGTGTGATTCTGTGTCATGGTTTTCATCTGTTGAAAAAGAAGGAGGACTGTTTTACATTTGTCTGAAAAGAATCTCCATAGTATCCTACCCCAGTCCAAGTACTGGAATTATATTACCAGTATCTAATTAATTTCTGTGCTTTCAGGCTATTGATAAGCTTATTTTTTTTAAACAAAACATTGTTCAAGAACAAGAAGTATACTTTACCTGATCTTTGAGGTTCTTTCCTAAATCTTTTACATCTTTCATGTTAATTGCATTCTTTCCACCCTTTTCCTTTCCCTTCTTCTTGTTTTTCTTTTTGAACAAGCATTTCTTACACAGACAAAAACAGCAGGTAAGGCTTAATAGGACTGCAACTATGGCTATGGCTATTAAGGCCCAAGGTGGCACTGTGAAAAGAAAAAAGACAGACAGACAAAGTTGTACACTGTTAGTCGTAAAGCTCAAGATTTTAAGAAACACAGAACCTGCCTTTTGAGTAATACATCTAAACATCTATCACACTGACCAAGCAAAAGCTCCTAAAAGGTCATACGATTTATATTATATATATGCAAAGACAGCTTATATAAAACAAAGATATCAATTGCCTATATATATATCAGATGAGTAGGGCACTGCAGAGCAATCAATTTAATTTTATAGCATTATTCATTATGATCAGAGTATTTAGGGAATTGTTCATTCCTTATTTTATAATCACCATGTTAAACCCACCTTGCATTATGCAAGCTAACTTCGAGTTCAGAGGAGTAGGCTGGAGATGTTTGTTTTCCAGGGCTTTGGAAAACAAATGTCTGTGATCAGCACAGTCAGATATAATGAAAAGCATTTCTCCACTTGCTGCTGCCTTTTCTTGACAGTGACTCAGAAGCAGGTCAAGGTCATTACTAAACACCAGCCAAGGGCAAGGATTAGCCAATTTAAGACTATGTTATCTGAGTTTTTCCCTGACACTGGCCATGTTTGGTAACACATGTGCATCTATAAGTCCACTTTAATGAACATGACAACAAAATTATTTTCTTTATTCATTCAGCTTAGCCATCTAGGCAGACTCTGCTACAATGTAAATCAGCCTTTATAAAAACCATGGTACAAAGTTTGATTGTGGAGCTCAGAATTTAAACCAAATGAAAATCATGTCATGGAGAAGGCAATTATATAACTCAACCTCAGTGTGATCACCATAATAACCTTTCTCTATGAAGACTAAAATTTCATTAAAATCTTGTAAAACAGGATTTAAACAAAACAGTCATATTTGCTCCTAGAGATGCACCCAGTCAACCTAATCAGCAATATAGCCTGCCAACCAACTTAAGCGTCTGCAAGTATATTTCACAAAACAGAAGACTGAATGGGATTTGACAGATGGTGTCAATGAATTCAAGTGGACAGTGAAAATATAGTAAATTAGTGGTTTGAAGTAATAAAGAGGAGCTGGATGGTGTGTAAATGTGCCCAACACACTAATTTTCAGAATAAGAGTTGATGGGGATCAAGCTTGCATGAACATTATGCCTACAGATAGGCAAGCACATGTGGTAGTTCTTCAGTTTATGAACATTGCTTCATGAACCATGAACCAGTCAAAATTTGTGACGAACTTTAGTTCATCAGCTGGTTCATGCCCATCCCTATTTTTGATCATCCCTGCAGTGGATGACAGAGTTCATGGACAGATTAGTAGAAAATGCTGCCAAGCTGCAGCCAATTTATGGTGACTCTGGTAGGGTTTGCAAGGCAACAGAGAAGCAGAGGTGGTTTGCCATTGCCTGCCTCGGTACAGAGACCCTGGACTTCCTTGGTGATCTCTCATCTAAGCACTAACCAGGTCCCTGTTTAGCTCCCAAGATCTGACAAGACTGGGTTAGGTCTCTCTACGGGCCACATTTGCCAGAGCTTTTCTATTATCTGAAACTGAGCACATGCTAGGCAGAGACAAAGCTTTCCTGAGGGAGAATAGAGCCCAAGCTTTGTTCTCTTCTCCCATTAGGGTTACCAATCTCCAGGTGGTGCCTGGAGATCACCCACTGTTACAACTGATCTACAGGCAACAGAGATCACCCGGAGAAAATGGTTGCTTTGGAAGGTGGACTCTATGGCATTATACCCTGTTGAGGATCCTCCCCTCCCCAAACCCTGCCCTCCTTAGGCATCATTCCCAAAATCTCCAGATATTTCCCAAACTGGAGATGGCAGCCCTACTTTCTACCTGTAATAGGGAACACACCTGCCCTGTGGATGGGAATAAAAAAGGTTTAAGGGGCTGCCCTCCTAAAGATAAGCAAACATACAGATACAAGAGAAAGTGATGCTAATGCTGATCGATCCAAACATGTCATTGTGTGAGAGCAAATTTCCAGTCCAGGACCTGTGTTTTCTCTTCTTAAATGGTAGTTAAAGCAAGAAGCTATGGGGAAGCTTGAGAAATACAAGATGGAAATTCTCATGCAAAGTGGTATCTTTTAAAACAAAAGCAGTGTCCAGGTAAGGGGAGAAAAACTCTGCTCCCCTCCCTCCACTTTTGAATTGAACACTTGATTATTTGAAAAAATATTTTCCCTTCATCCTACTGAGGAGCTGCAGTGGCTCAAGTGGGTAAGACGCTGAACTGCAGGCTGTGGAAGGTCAGTAGTTCAGCAGTTCGAGACCCGGGTGCCACAGGATGGAGTGAGCTCCCATCCCTAGTTCCAGCTCCTGCCAACCTAGCATAGTTCGAAAGCAAGAAATAGATAAATAGGTACCACTTCGGTGGGAAGGTAACAGCGTTCCGTGCGCCTTGGTGTTTAGTCATGCTGGCCACATGACCACGGAAATGTCTTCGGACAGCGCTGGCTCTTCAGCTTGGAAATGGAGATGAGCACCGCAACCCTAGAGTCGGATTCGACTGGCTTTTGAGCAAGGGAACCTTTACCTTTACCTTTACATCCTACTGAAAGTGAGAATTTGAATTGTTTATATAATACAGAAGTATTCTACTACCTGCCTGAAAGTTGGTGGAAAAGTGAGGGTACAATTTGAATCTAAATTAGTTTAGAGACTAAGAAGTTACAAGCAAAAATGTGTGTCCCACTCAGACCAATGGAATGTCATCTGAATTACTCCAAACAACATTAAAGAGTAAGTCAAATGAGCCAAATCCAAAGGTGAACAAATTCTGTGTACATCTCTGCTTCCCAGCACTACATGCCCAAGCAGATGCCAGGGTTTTTTGATTCGGGGGCTTTTTTTGTTATTGCCCAGCTCTATGCTACTGCATTTGCAATGCCAGGTGTTGCTGTATTATGCCAATGGAAAAGATCTGCCCATAATCCTAAATGCTATGGTGTAGATAAAATATGTGCAGAATCAAACTGTAAGGCTGAAACTCAACGCTTGGAAATTAGTTCAGTTAAAATCTTTGAGAACTGACAAGATATGTACATAGATATGCAGAGTTTCAGGCACTTAAAATGTCATTCCTATTGTTTGAGCACTGCATGCACAATTCTGTGCTAACGCTTCACAGAAAGAAGAGGAATTGAAAGTTATTGGGGTAAGAGATGAATGTTATGACAGCAAGCTTTCTTATATGTAAAACAGTCTGGCAAAAATGTACCAATTGCATATGCTTAGCTGGCTATAGTTGCTGCTTGCCTGCAGGATTTGTTCCACATTACACATCAATATCAACTAAACTTTGAATTACTCTCATCTCCAAGTTCCAGCAGATGAACTAATGTTAGTTCAGCGGGCACAAATTTACAGCAGCAAAGAACATACTGAAGGCTACAAGCCGTACTCACTGACCCCATTCCTTAAAAGCCAAAAGCTGTATTTGCCCTGAGTAGATTCTGATAATCATGTCTGGATACTAAAAAACAACACCAATTTTTGCTATGATTTCTGTCCTGAAATCAGGACAGAATTTTTGATCCTACACCACAGTTTTTGAAGTCTAACATGTGCTTATCCAGCTCCACATGTACTGCTGCTAAAAACATTCTGGCACAAGCTGCTTCTTTCCTATTCTTATAATGTGCTTGACTGAATAGTGCCATTCAAAGAATTATAAGGTCCTCTACATATCACAATTTCTCTTTCACATCATTTCCTTCTCTAGATGTGATATCTGTTCCTACTGTGCAGGGACATTCAATCAGCTTTAATATAAAGTATCAAGCATGCCGCTTCCACAATCCAGTTCCCAAAGGACATACCATGGGTGCTTCCCTAACTTTTCATATCTCCAACATGTAAACAAAATGCTACAAAAAAACCTTCACAATATTATTTTTCTGCCCATACTATGACCATATACTGTTTAATTGTTGGGTTCCCAAGCATCAAGAATAAATCCACGTTTTAAACAGCAAGATTTTATTTCAAAGCATTGGAAAGATACTCAAACACGTTCTTTGTTAGAACTGACTACAAACGGTTAGGGCAAGCATAATAAAGGGATTTGAAACAGGTACAGAACCAATGGGTCACTTTCCTGCTGGCGGGTGAACTAAAACGGTTTCGCGCTCATTCCCTGAGAACCAGGCTATCTCCAGACATAACACAGGTGCAGTTCCCAGGCTCTAAAAGCAACAAGCTGGCAGTGAAGCGAACTCCCCCAATACATCCTCCAGTTGTTTGGCTTAGGCATTACAGCAGAATAAAATACTAGTGAACAGGCAGGGGGGAGGGGGTGAGCAACTGTACAAAGATACAAGTAACACAGAACACCATGGCAGCGTGCTGACATACTGCCCCCTCAAAAATACACTTTAAACACCGTCTCCCGGGCAGGGCGGGAGAACTCCCGGTGTGGGCGGGAGACCTCCCGGTTTGTCCGGGAACTTCCTGTGGAACTCACGAATCAGATAAGGGGCCCGAATATCCCCTTCTTCCACCCATTCGCGGTGCTGGGGTCCGAAGTCCACCCATTCGATGAGATACCAGAGCTTACCACGCTTCAGTTTGGAATCAAGCACATCAGCGATTTCAAAATGTTCATCCGGGAACTTCCTGTGGAACTCACGAATCAGATAAGGGGCCCGAATATCCCCTTCTTCCACCCATTCGCGGTGCTGGGGTCCGAAGTCCACCCATTCGATGAGATACCAGAGCTTACCACGCTTCAGTTTGGAATCAAGCACATCAGCGATTTCAAAATGTTCATCCCCTTCCAGTATAATAGGAGGAGGGGGAGTGACCGACGGTCTCCATGGAGACGAGCCAGGATCCTTT